TAAAGAAAATTGCCAAAAATACTTGACACCATTGCTATCATGGTCTATACGATGACCCGCGCCTGTCCCGTTTAACTTCCTAACACAAGGTTGTTCATCAAATACAATGGTGAAACAACACTGTTAAAAGGGTTAAAAACATAAGAAATATCTTTGAGTAAAATAGGGTAGATAGCTCCTAGTTACTTGATCAAGCTTGCAAAAACATCCTTGCTATTTTCAAAACACACTTCACCACACAATTTCAAAACCCTACTTTCAAACATTGGAAACTTTTCAAAAGATAAAAACACATTTGTATACATTCAAACAAGAATCATTACAAAGGTTGCCACAACAATGGCCTCTTTTCAAAACATCTTTCAAAATCACACACAAAGCACCATTTCAAACAATTGAAAATCACCATTTCAAACAATTGAAAAACAAAGCAAGTGATCTAAGCAAGTAACTAAGAGCCCATGGATAACCATGGATAGAAAGGGTGCTAATACCTTCCCTTTCTATAATCTACTCCCCGAACCCAAGAAAATATCTCAAAGGTCTTTCCTGTGCTTTTTGACCTTTCCTTAGGATAAATTAAAAAGTCAGTGGCGACTCTTGCTAAACCGAAACATTTGCGAGCACAAACGCAAAATCCCAAGTCAGTTCTCCCACCGTATCACACTATCCAATGTTGGACTATTTCCCCACTTACTCAAACTTGCTATATTATTCCAGCACCCCCCCCCCCTCAAGTGTGAGTCCATAATTCTCTCCCACTTGTACCGCACCATTTCGATACAAGTTCCTTCCGGTCCCTTTCTCAAACCAAAGGTTCATGATACCATGTTGGAGCACAAGAAAGATAAAATACAAAAGGAATATTTACTGATAGCTTCAAATATAAGGATTTACAATGAATTATAATAACCTACTCCACTCGGCTATTTATACACAAAATTAAATCTAAAATATATCTTCTACAAAGATCTAAGAAGATCTAAGATATATATCTTCTAACAAAGATATAAACAATATAAAAGATATTCCTAAATATAAATTAATATCTAATTAAATCTAAATTAATTCTAACATCATCCCTTAATTTATATTTACCAAAAACTGACAACACCAATTCCATCCATTAAACCAATAAATTGATCAGTTTTGATAGCCTTTGTCAGAACATCTGCCAGCTGCTTCTGAGTGCTACAATGCACAACCTCTAATATTCCATTCTGAACTTGATTCTTCAGAAAATGATACTTGGTCTCAATATACTTGCTTCTCCCATGCAACACTGGATTCTTGGCAAGATTGATTGCAGACTTGTTATCAATCATCAACTTCAGAGGTTTATTTACCTCAATCTTCAGATCTTTTAGCAAGTTCAGAATCCACACAGCTTGACATGCAGTTAGAGCACCTGCAATATATTCAGCTTCACAAGTTGATAGAGCAACAACAGGTTGCTTCTTAGAACACCAAGAAATATGACCTCATAGAAATTTGAATAAGTACCCAGAAGTACTTCTTCTGTCAACTCTATCTTCACACTAATCAGAATAACTCAGAAGTTCCAATTCGATCTTTCTTCCAGACGGAAATAACACTCCACATTTCAGAGTTCCCTTCACATACCTCAAAATCCTGTTGCAGCTTAGTAATGAGACCACTATGGTTTTCTCATAAATCTGCTAACTATTCCAACTGCATAGCAAATATCAGGTCTGGTATTACATAAATACCTTAGAGAACCAACCATCTGTTTGAAGGTTGTAGTATCCACATCCTCTCCATCGGAATCAGAGTCCAACTTCTGATTCGTATCAGCAGGTGTGATAGCAATGTTACAATTTTTTAGCTCAAATCTCTTCAGAATCTCTAGTTCATACTTCATCTGATGTAAAATGATTCCTTTCTCAGAGTACATAAACTCCATCCCTAGAAAGAAACTCATTTTTCCAAGATCTGTCATCTCAAATGCATTCATCAGAACTTTCTTAAACTCAACTATCTCTTGTTCAGAACTTCCTGTGAGTAATATGTCATCAACATACAAATAGACCAGAATCATATTACCTTCTGAAGTATGTTGAACATAAACACCATACTCCATCTCACACTTCTGAAACCCTTGTTCCTTGAAAAACGAATCAATCTTCAAGTTCCAAGCTCTGGGCGCTTGCTTCAATCCATACAATGCTTTGTGTAATTTGATCACCATCCTTTCCTAATTCTTTTTCTTAAATCCAAGAGGTTGTGAAACGTACACCTCTTCTTATAATGGACCATTCAGAAATGCAGATTTTACATCTAAATGCATCAGAGGCCAATTCCTGTAAGCATCTATTGCAATCACTAGTATGATTGTTTCATGTCTCGCTACAGGTGCAAACACTTCAAAGTAATCCAGCCCAGGCTTTTGTAGGAAGCCTCTTGCTACTAATCTCGCTTTTTATTTGCCAATTGATCCATCTGGCTTTAGCTTTTGCTTGAAAACCCATCTGACGCTGATGGCTTTCTTGCCTTTTGGAAGTTCTGTCAGCTTCCAAGTCTTGTTTCTCTCTATAACATCAAGTTCTTCTTTCATGGCCTGTAACCAAACTTGATGCTTAAGAGCCTCTTTCGTACTCACGGGTTCAGAGCCTACTAACATTGCACACTGAATAACTTCTCCTTCAGAGTTTACTTCAGTGTCTAGCAACATGTCAAACTCTACAAATCTTCTTGGTTGCCTCTGAACTGGACCTTCAGAACTTTAGATACCAGAACTTCCCCCTTCATAAGATCTCGCTTCATAGTTTTGACTTCTCCAGAACATTGACTATCTTTAGAGTCTTGAAAATTCCCAGGCTATGAATCATTATTAGAGTCAGAGCCACTGCTTTCAAAAATACCATCTTCAAAAGTTAGATCACCTCTGCCTTTAGAAGTTCCACTTTTAGAATCATGATCATCGTCAAAGGCTGAATTTCCTTCAGAAGCTCCTCCTTCAGAAGTTTCACTTTCAGAATCATGATTTCTACCAGAAACATGGTCATCTTTAGAAGCTTGTCCTCCCGAACCTACGCCTTTAGAGTTTTCCCTTCTAGAAGCATGATCACCACCAAATTCTGGATCATCAACAAAATTTGGATCAGAATCAGATTCACCTTCAGAGTTTCCAGAGTCATCATCTTCTGACTCTTCTTCATAAGCAGAATCTTCTTCAGACTCAGAATTACCTTCGGATTCTGACTTGTCTTCAGCTTCAGAGTCATCTTCTGACTCGAACTCGTCTTCAGAAACCTAAGATTCTGACTCATCTTCAAAATCTTCAAAGTCGCCATATGATTCTAACTCAGAGCCATATTCTGATTCTGACTCATACAAAATAACTCCTTCAGAATTAGAATATTCAGAGTCATATTCTTCTTCCCCTTCAGAATCAGAAAATGACAATTTCACTGGTTCCTCATCAGATTCATAAGCCATAAATAGAACAGGTTCATCATCTGAATTTCATCTGGCTACATTTGCTTCTTCTGACTTCCTTTCTTTGTTTGACCAGCAATCTTTAGTATAGTGACCAAAGTTCTTGCAACAGTAACACTGAATGTTCTTCTTGTCAGACTTCTCCTTTCCCCTCTGGACATTCTTCTGCTTATCAGAGATTAAAGCTTCTGACTTTTGACCACCATTAGTTCTCTTCCTTGCTTCTGACCAAGTCTGCTTCTGATTCTTCTTACCAGAAGTTACCTTCAGAGCCTGCTGCTCTACTTCCCTCTCAGAAGTTCTTGCAGTCATACGCAACTTATGTGCCTCTAGACTACTTTGCAGCTCTTCAACTCTCATGGTGCTCAAATCTTTGGAATGTTCAATTGCTACCACAATGTAATCAAACTGAGAAGTTAAAGATCTCAAGATCTTCTCAATGACTATTTGTTCAGAAAGGTTTTCTCCACAAGCTTTCATCTCATTAGTGATCAGAATCACTCTAGAAATGTACTCAAAAACCTTCTCGTTGTCCTTCATGTTAAGATTCTGATATTGCTTTCTGAGAGACTGAATCTTCACCTTCTTCACTGATGCGTCACCACCGTAACATCTGACTAGTGTGTCCCACGCAGCCTTTTCTATTTCAGAATCAACAATCTTCTCAAACATATTCACATCCACACATTGATGGATGTAGAACAACGCCTTCTAATCTTTCTTCTAATAGATTATAGCCATCAGTGACAAGTTCTAACACATCTTGAGAATCAAATAACACCCACATCTGGATCTTCCAGCGATTCCAATTTTTGCCATCAAATACTGGAAGCTTGGAATGAATATTGCTTGCCGTTTCCGTTCATCTTCTACCTTATGCAATTTACGCAGAGTTTTCTCAAATCAATGTTTTCTCAAAAAATCCTGGAATAGACACATTGATACATAGTGTAGGACTAGACACATCTGTGAGAGAAACGCCACTTGTCCACCTAAAACCTTAAGGTGATAGGTGAGTGAGTTCTCCCACTTATATATGCTTAAGTCTCCACATTCTCATTCAATGTGGGACTATTTTTCCACTTACTCACACTTGCTATATTATTCCAACAATATTCATTCATCCTTTTATTTTTCTATTTGTTTTATATTTTAAAAATTATCTTTATAAAAAATTAAATTAAAATAAACAAATTCAGCCTCTTCAACAAATTACCTTTATACCTCATATTCTTTATCCTCTTCAACAAATTCAAAGCCCAACAAAATAACGAGAATATGAAAATCTAAATTAAAATCTTTTTGATTTACACGTACCTACCTACCACGCATCTAGAAGGAATAAAGGATTGTCACTCATGATATAGAAGGAAAGAATTAGACGAAATAGTTTTCACCCAAAAAATAAAACATTTTTTTATAGATTTGATAGGAGAAATAAAAGGAATTTTTTTTGAATAACCAAGTATTAAAAAAAAATTCGCAAATAACCGCGTTTCAGAAAAAATTACGCAAATAACAATGTTTCAGATGACTCCTCAATGGGAGAAAGGGTTTTAAAGAAAAACATTGTTGATGTTCGTCTTTCTATTAGTGGGGGACTATCTGGTGGAGTATCTGGAGGTGGTAACACTACTAGTGGTGGACTTTCTGGTGGATTTTCTGGGGGAGTATCTAGTGGACTGAATGGCAGTATTACTAAAGGTGGTGGACAATTTGGTGGATTAAATGGAGGCGGTAATATTACAGGAGGTGGAATATCTAGTAGACAAAATGGAACCGGTAATGCTACTGATGTTGGAATAACTATTGGTGTAGGAGGAGGCGGTAATTCTTCTGGTGGTGGATTTATTGGAGACGATAATACTAATGGAGGCGGTAATTCTTCTGGTGGTGGTATATCTGGTGGATTAAACAGTGGACAAAATGGAGTCGATAATGTTATTGGTGATGGAATATTTGGTAGACAAAGTGGAGGCGTTATTGCCACTAATGGATTGAGAGGAAGCAATAATCTAACTGGTGGTGGTCTTTCAACTGAATTAAATGGAGGAGGTAATGCTAATGTTGGTGGTAATTTTACAAGTGGGGAATATTTGTTGGACTAAATGGAGGTGGAAATGATACTGGTGGAGGCTGTTAATTTGGGCTCGATGGTGAACCTTGAGTCACAAGTTAATTACTGTGGAATTTGCTTTTGTTAAAGAAATAAATAGTGTTGCGAGACTTGTTATTACAATGTTTTATAAATAAACTTATGTTGTAATGATATTTTTCCTTCTAATCTATTACTAATAAATGTTTATGTTTTTCTCTTTCTCTCAAACTTATTCATATTTAATTTAATGTTTTATATATTTTTAATATGTATGATTGTTTTGTTTGAAAAGTAAAAGTTTAAATGAAAAATGAAGAAAAAACTATTTAAATACTTGAATAATTCAACCTCTTATAATAAAATATAACATTATAATCTCTGTTACATGAATTTTAAAATGGAAATAAAAGAAATATATTTTTTCTCTTTTATTAGCAGGTTTTGTCTGAAGGCATATTAATTAAAAAAAAGTAATATTATATAATTTAACTGGGTTTTCTTTTTTTTTTTTTACAAAATTTACAAAATAATTTAATTTCTATTTCTAGTATAAATATATAAAAGTAGTTGCTGAAGAACTTCACGTAAACAATCATATCAAACTCGACTTTAAAGTAGTAAATTGGGGTATGTGTATGTGTATGTGTGTGTCTGTGTATGTGTGTGCGTGTGTATATGTATGTGTGTGTCTGTGTATGTGTGTGATTCCTTTAAATTATCCTTTACTAGATATTACTAACTTAATTATCATCATTTAAGTGAATTAAGAATGGTAGTGATAAAATTGAGAGTGATAATGACCCTTTAAAAAGAGCAATCACATAAGAGCAGTAAAATAGTCCTTTCATTAGAACAATACCAAAGTCCTAACATAACTTAGAAATAAGAATGTGTGCAACTTGTGGAGAATATAAAGAGCTCAATAGCTTAAGAAGAAGTGGAAGATTCAAGCTGATGCTTGCATGTTTTCTAGAGAAGATATTGCTACAAAATTTCAAGTCAAATATAGAGCTTAAAATCCAATCGTTTATCCTTAATAATTGTCTTATTTAACTAAGAAGAAAATAGATAAGAAGGTTTTTCTTTCTTTAAGTTATGATCCTTAATTAACATAAACCCTAAATTATGAAATGACGATTGCTTGTCGAATTCATACTTTGTTAATTGTTAAATGATGTGCTCATTTTGAATTTAAGTAATAACTAAGCTAATGGTCGTGTTTAGAATGCTAGATGACGGAAAGGATTGTGAGAGAGGTGATGATATTTGGGATTTTTAGTTTGTATTGGAAAAACCCATGTGTTGATGGGCATGCTACAATAATAAGGGATACTACGGCCAGATAAAGTGTTGGATTACAATCTCAGACAAGGGATTGTTCTGAGGAACCAATTGGGGGATGTGTGGTTTTATCCTAGGGGATATGTGATTCATTTTGGTTATATAGTAGTGGAGTATATTATTTACCCCTCTACCCAATTGGTGTAAATGGTATTCATCTTGTAGTTAGGTAAAGTTCACATGTATTGGGTCGTTCATTATAGGATATGTATCAGGAAGATGTAGGAAACTTAGGAGAATTGAGGTTTTAGATCAGAACCCACCAATATTATTAGCTCAGCCTCGTAGTTATATTCTTTTATATATTATAAATCCATTTGGTTGGTTGTATTAGGTCAAACAACATATGTACAAGATGTATTTTAGGCAACATATGGAACAAGGTGTTCCAACAAATGTACCTATGTCTGAGTGTGATTGTGATTGCTGTTAAGAAGAGTTGCTTAGTTAAAGTGTTTGACATAAACAGTTAATCAAGAGTTGTTTAGTTAAAGTGCTAGATCCAACCATTTAAGCAAGAGGTTTCAAGATTCGACTAAAGTGCTTAACAAAACTTGTTAAGTCATGGGTTCAACATGTGATTGTGTATCTTACTTTCATAAGGGTTGGGTTCTACCTATCATTTGATATATTCAGATTTCCTTCAAAAAAGTTGTGCTGTTGAATTCTTCAGAAGATACTGGGGTTTGCCTTTGTGAATAAGTTTGTGTTGTAAAGGTTTGGATTTGGTTTAGTCAATGAAGATTTGATTGGTTGTACCTTGAAGGAAGTTTTGGTCCAAGATTTACTCTATAAATAATACTTGTATGAAGAGAGTTATTTTGGATGCTCTGGTGTAACATGTAGAACAAGATGTTCCATCATGCGTGCTGCTATATTTGTTCTCTGTAAACAGACAAATGTTAGTGCACTTTTGGAAAAGAAATGTGTGCTACAACATATGGTCTTTTACAATAGACATATGGTGTTACATTATTGGTTCTTATTTATTCTATCCAAGAGTCACTCTTTAAGAATATCTACAATTCATGGATAAGAGTTAATTTGGATGTTTTGGTGCAATATGATTTAACATGTTGCTTCAACATGAGTTCCATGCAAGATATGGCCCTAGACAGCAGTCCATCATGGATGTTGCTTGGTGCAAAAATTTTGATTGGGATTTAATCAAATTTGTTTAGAAATGTTTGTGAGAATTATTTGACAATTGTTGTAGATAAAATCATATTTAAATGGAGATTTAAATTTGAATTTGATATATAAAAAATCATATGTTTTATTGGAGACTTTTATGGAGAAAATCAAATCCAACAATATCTTTTATTATTCTGGATGAGTGTAACCCAACTATCCAAGGAGAAAAATCCCATAAGACATTTCTATTTAAGGAGACTCAAACCTCACATTTGAGGTGTGCATGTTTTGAAGATTCTTTGTGTTAGAATTTATCTTTTGAGTCTTCATTTGTGGTATCATTGTGCACCACTCTACCGCCTCTATTCATATCTTAAGACGTATAGTTTGATTTGATAGTTGAGTTGTAAGACTTTGTTCCGATATACTAAGTCTATAAGCTTGAGAATAAAGTGTTTCTTTTATTCTATGTTAATTCCATCATAATGGTTAGTGTTGAATCTTTGTGCACACCACTCTATGTTTCAGTAACTTGGCATTGTTGTTGGTTCGTCTTAGTTGAGTTGTAAATTCAATATTCAATAGATTTGTTATTGAAGACAATCACTAGGGGCCAATGATTGAGAGAAGGTGATATTCAGGGGGAGACTAGAAAGAAGCTTAACGAGTATTATTGGTAAAAGGGCCTTGAATTAGGAGTATTTAGAGTAAGTCCATTTTCCCTTCTAACTAATGGGAGTGAAATAGTTCTACAAGTATTCCTAAATAGAAAGTAAATAGGATTATGAAGAGACATAGAACAACATGGGGTTGTTTTTTTCTATAAGACTAATTATACTAATTCAATGTAAGGAATTTCCTTTCTTGGGTAGAGTTCCATCCAGACGTAGGTATTTCTTGCACCAAACTGAGTTACCAATATTTTGTGTTCTATATATTCATTTTCTACTTCATCATCTTGTATAAGCTAAAACTTTATTCATCATTATCATACTGTTTATCGCGTTGGACTAGTTGTCACAACATCGTGTCCAACATGTGTTCCCTCGGGAACAAAATTACATATATGAACATGTATTATGAAAATATATTCAAAAGGCAACATAAAGTGAATGACTCATATTGTTACTTTTTTATTTTTATTTCCTCTGTGTAGTTACTACATTTGTGTAATTATGATGTTTCTTTCTAGACACAATATCTTTTTTTATGTATTAAGTTATTGTTTAAATATATCCTATAGCAAAGATTAACATTTAAAATTGTTATTCTAGTCATATAATGAGGTTTTATAATTTTGACATCATAGTTGGTCGGTACACGACCTAACCTAAGTTTATTGACAATATAGTTTAGTCCTTTATGGACGACGCGTATATGATTCTAGAGTATCATATTATTAAATATCTAGTTTGATCAACTTAATATTTATGTGTGGTAAGAAGAATGATATGGAAGAACCTCCACGAAGAGGATTAGTAAGGCATGCAAGGATCCAAAGGAGAGGCACCCCTGAGAATCAAGGCGGGGGTCAGGATGGGGACCGTTGGGCTGACATGATATGTAAAAAAAGAGAAACATCAGTTGCATATGCTGAACGGAAATCACTATACAAAGTGAAATAGAAAACAAAAATTTCCTTTTAGTTGATACTTGTGAATGATTCATGAATGGTGACAGAATGATTACCTCTTGTGGCCATTAATAACTTTGACGCAAAATCGAAGGATTGATCACGAGCATTGAATGAAGAACAACACCACTACTTAGTACACATGAACATAGTCCCTTTAATCTCAGTGCTAACTTCTACAAATGAAGACTTTGAGTGAGAAAGAAAGAGAAAACTTTCAACCAGGGTTTCACAAACCTAATTTCATTAAGTGTAAAAGCTTCTACACAAGGGTTCTATTTATAGAACAACTTAAGTGGGTTGCAAGCTAAAAATCCCACTTAAGTGCACTATAACTTATGTTGTATAATATTTCACTTAAGCGCATGATACCTTACCATATTTATTATTCCAGAGTGTATGATACCTGTTGTACCCCAAAATTTTCCCTCTTATTTATCAAGTAATCTCTCACAAGATCTCCTTCGGTTCAATACTGCATTAGGTTTAATCAGCTCAAGACACCTCCTTAAGCATTGATGACCAAAATTTGGGTTTGAGATTGCACAAGGATAATTGAACTTTCAATGCTTCATATGACTTTCATGGATCATTATGCACCCCCAAGATTACTCATATCAAGTTTCAAGCCTTGGATCACACTTTTGCTCAGTCAATTGAGCAGTTGACCTAAAAATCAGCTGTATTGGGAAAAAAGTCAACTATGGCCAATTTATAATCAAACTTCATAATTTTTTATCCATATAAATATTATAAACTCATATGTATCATTTGATCAAGTTTGGACCATAATTACTCAAGAAATTTGATCAAATCATCAAAAGGGCAAAATGGTCAAAATTAAGGTTATGACTGAGAAAGGGCAATTTCTGGTTTTTGACCTAGCAAATGTTCAATTGGTT